AGAGAGAGAGAGAGAGAGTCAAGAATAGGGCGAAGAAAAAAAAATAAGAGAGAGAAACAATGTATTCGTAGACACAAACGGGGATAGACAGAGTGAAAGACTGGCAGAAATAATATAGCGATAGGCAGTAATAGAGAGAAAAGAATGAAAAGGGGAAAATAACGGCAGTTGTATGTATTTGAGTTCGCGTCTATTGTGTAGGCAAGAAAACTAAACAATCGCTCGATATTAGAAAAATGAGCGGAAGGGGTGTTAGAGAAGTCACCTCTTTCAAGGAAACTGCAGAGCTTTTTAAATGGAAGCCTAAGAAGTGGATCAGGTGGTACGATCGAGTCACAAATGCTCAACTGTGGGGAAAAACAAGCCAAAGGCCAGTAAAGGAAGACTTGCATGTGAAGAAATGGAAATGGAAGACAAAAGATGACATGGAGGCGAGCGGTACATACGGAAATGGAAAAGGCAGGGACATCATAGAAACAGCTAGAAAAGGATGCCAAGGACAGGCTTCGCTGGATAAATGTTGTTGATGGCCTATGTTTCACTGGGAGTTAAAAAGAGCAAGAGAAGAGAGAGAGAGAGAGAGAGAGAGAGAGAGAGAGAGAGAGAGAGAGAAAGAGTCACCACTTTAGAATTACAATGTTCTGTCTGTTCAGTAACTGGTTTTGAGAAATTCGACGTAAAAGGTTTTGAGTCTCAAACATGTCCCGCCTTTTCAAATGCGATTCTTTGAATATCTTGGTAACGGCTCCGAATAAACATACGATTTTGAAAGAGCAGGTAGAGCTTTCGGTTTCTCACCTCACAGTCTTAGAAACTCAAAACGGCCAAAAATGTCAGATAGAACTTTGTGATTCTAAGTTAGCGAAGTGTTAATAATAGATTATCTATTAATTATTATATAAGACTGTAAAAGCAACATAGACTGAGAGAATAGGACGGGGACTGAGAATTTTAGCTGAGCAGGGAGGGGTTTAAGCTAGAAACACAAAAATGTTAAAAGAAGAGAGGCTACTGCAATCAGTTTTTTTAATGAGACTGTTAGAATGACAGAGAAACGGGTTCTGTTTTTTGGTTCGGGGAGGGGGGAGGGGGAGGAGAGAATCTGAAAGAGAGAGGAGAAAGTAATAAAAGGTGAGGGGGAGGGGGAGGAGGAGGAGGGAAATTGAAAGGGTACAAGTGAGAGAGGAAACGATAGAAAAGTAAGTGAAAGAGAGAGGGGGGGAGGGAGAGAGAGAGTCAGAGAGAGAGAGAGAGAGAGAGAGAGAGAGAGAGAGAGAGAGAGAGAGAGAGAGAGAGAGAGAGAAGGAGGTGAGAGAGAGAGAAAAAGAGAGTAATAAAACGCAAATGAGACAAAGACGTATAGAGTCAGACAGACAGACAGACAGACAGACAGACAGACAGACAGACAGACAGACAGACAGACAGACAGACAGACAGACAGACAGACAGACAGACAGACAGACAGACAGACAGGAGATAGGAAGGGAAAGAGAAACGAAAACGAGAAAGAAAGAGGAAGTAGCTAGAAAAACGAGGCAAAACTCGCAAAAGTATGCATGGGGGGCTCTCTGGCTTACGTCAAAGCTGGTAAGCCTTAGAGTGTCCTGAATGCATCCATCTTGGACGGGACAGATTCCTTTTGGGCGCAAAAGGGGGGGGGGGTGACGTTCATGAAGATTCATGTGTCAAGCTACTGCAACGGTGCGACGCAAGGATGAGAGGAAACTTTTATGATTAATGAACGGACCCTTTTGGAGTATAATTAAGCTTACGAAGCCCTATCCTCACGTACGTATGCATCCACACACAGAGACACAGACACACACTCAAACACACACACATACACACACATACACACACACATACACACATATTATACGCTCATATTTATCAAATCTGTTAAGACTGTACATTCCAACTCGCAGTTTAAGGTCATCAGCTGACAAAAAGAAATTCATTTTACCATCTATGAAACTTAAAACAATGGGTAAAAGGGCATTTGAATACCAAGGCCCCAAGATCTGGAATGCTTTACCAAGTACGTTGAGAAAAATCAAATCTTTTGATTTATTCAAATGTCAGCTGAAGTCGTTTCTGTTTTTAAAATAATAAGATGAATATTTGGAATAATTTTCTTTAGTCAGAACACAACGTTTCATGTTACTGTTGTATGTTGTACTGTATTGTAAAGCCCTCAGAGCCTGTGTACTTTATTCGGGGTTGAGCGCTATATAAATGTCATTTATTGTTATTATTAGACGTTGAACGGATTATAAAACAGTTGGAAATCCTACCAAGCACCATTTTTAAAAAAATTCTCTACATACATTGATGATGAATGACGATGAGGATCATCATCATCATCTTTATCAATATCATTATCATGATCTTCATTATTATTATCTTTATTATTATTATTATTATCATAATTATCACGAGACATCTTTCCGCCTATCGCCGGGTACCCATTCCCACTTTGATGAAGTGAGGAGAGGTCATACAATATACCTCTACCAAGTACACAATTTCGGCCCCATGGCAGGGTTCAAACCCATGACCCTTCAGTCACAAAGCGCAAACGGCACTTCTGTCTTGCAAACTACTCTAAATCAGACTTGAATTCTGTACTCGAAAGTATACATCTAGGATATAGAGAGATAGATCTAGATCTTGCGCCTTGCTCTAAAAACCTACGCACAAAAATACGCACCCAAAAAAAATTGAAAACGTCAAAGTAAACATTTTGCGGGTCTAAACGAACACAACGTGATGGGGACATGAATATACCAGAGTCTACATAACAAGAGGGTCCACTCCTCTCTTTGAGCCAATTAAAAAAGGTGTCCTCAAAATTTGGTGGCGCCTTTTCGCAAATGTGCACCCTTTGGGAACAGAGTTACCCTACTTGTGTTAAAAAATCAAAGTGAAACTAACTCGTTTTTGAATAAATAAGAATTCAAATTTCGGAAGAACGCTTTTTTAAAATGGTTACGCTGACAAAAATACCTTTTCCGGAGGAAGGGATGACTGTTTTCTTCGTTTAATTTGACTTTA